TACTGTCCCTAAGGGCTATTTTTCCCTCTGTGTTGGTAGGTTGGTCAATTTACTCAGAAAATAAACCTCTGGTCCTGCCAAGGTGGGGGAAGCACAGTTGACTAGCTATGTAAGAAAAGCAAGGGAATCTAGGAATCTAAATGTATCTCACACAATTTTTCAACCATTCTTTGTGTTTTCAGCTCTAACTGCATTGCCATTAAGTGCCTCTGATTTCTCAATATTTCTGGTGTTATTTGGTGCAGTTCGGTTGATTCTGAGCTTCTGCCAACGCCAAGATAAATTTCAACCTTTTTTGTCTTTTGAGTAAATTATCACTCATCAATATGTGTTAGAGCTTCCAAAAATGTGTTGCTACAGTGTCTTTCTCCAGTCTTTTTATTGTTATAGCTCTTCACATTATTTTATTATTTTAATCTCCTTTTTATGAGGTTTTAGGAAGGAGAAAAGTTAGCAATAATTTTGACTCTACCAAGTTTATCCAGTTAAAGAGAAAAATCTTAAAAGCTTCCTTTTCACAAAAAAATCTCTGAAAGTGTGATAAGCGGATGCACTTCCATAGGAAAAAGAGGGAACCTAGACAGATGACATAAGATATAAGAAAAAAGAATGAACGCTAAACTGGATGAAATGTCTATACATTTAATAATTAATTTTAAATATAATGACTATATTTTTGGCAAAATGTTTTTTTAAAACTCTAGAAAATAGTAACAATATTAGATAATCAAAACACGCTTTGGTTCCAGTTGTTTTTCTTTAACAGAACAGAAAACATAAATGACTTTGTTTTAAAATATCATTAAGTATAAATTTTAAAAATTAAGAGTGACTACTAACAGAATTAAAACATATACACAGATTGAGTATTCCTTATCCAAAATGCTTGGGGACCAGAAGTGTTTAAGATTTTGTATTTTTTTCAAATTTTGTAATATTTCCATTATACTTGCAGATTCAGCATCCCTAATTAAAAATCTGAAATCTGAAATGCTGCAATGAGCCTTTGCTTTCAGCATCATGTCAGCTCTTAAAAAGTTTCAAATTTTGGAGGAATTTGGATTTTTGGTGCAGGGCTATTCAATCTGTATCACTTCTAAAGTAGCAGAGATAATAAAGGAAGTTTCTAAAAGTTTTCAGTCTTCAAAGTACAGATAAATAGAGAAAAATAATGGCTAACAGTGACAAACAGAAAACTCAAAATAACATGGTTAAAATCAGTTAAAATATATCAGCTAATCAAAATAGTGTAAATTGCTCAAATTCACCTATTAAAAAGCAGATTATAGATTGGACTTTTAAAAATATAGCTGTAAGTTTTTGGCAAAAGCCATGATGAAGTGATGGGGAAAGCTATAAAATGCAAATGCTAGCCATAAGGAAACTAATGTAGCAATATTAATATCAGAATTAATATAATTAATATTATAATTTAAGACAAATATTAATAAGGATAGTATGTATGATAATAAAATGGAAAATTTACTAATAAATGCTAATAACTATGAGCTTATTTGCAACTAAGAACTAAGAATTTGAAATATTAAAGGAAAACTGGCACAACCACAAGGAGAAATAGATATCTCTGGAACATCAGCATAAGATTTTCAATAACAACAGTCAAAGGGAACTAAATATTATTTAGAATACAGTTTTGAACAACAAACTTAAAAAGCTTGGTCTAATAAATATATACAGAACTCTGTATCCAAAAGAGAATACATAAACACCAAAGAATAATCAAATTGATAATGTATTATAGTAGGTCACAAAGGCAGTGTTATTATGTTTCAAATATTTGGCAATTAACAATAGTCTATTACAATAGCCTAATCTGATATCAACAATAAAAGATCTTAAAAAATTGACTATCTTTTTAAACAACTCAGATGTTAAATCACAACAGAAATGACAATGAGAATTAGGAAATAGATTTGAAAAAAACTAAAGATATATTTTACATGTGTGTATGCTTTTTAGATATAATTATCTCAAAACCAATTGAAATCAGCTAAAATGTCAGGTGTATTTTATAGCATTATATTAACTTTTTTGAAAGAAAAAGGGTTAAAAATAAGTGAAAATATACATTTAGCTCAAGAAACTCAGGAACAGAAAATGGAAGTAAGTGGGTTAAAAATAAAACAAACTAGTTTAACTAATGTAAGAGTTTAGCAAGTTGTATAGAAGAATATATAAAAAATGATAGTGTTCTCACACTATTGGCATAATTACCAAAGTATAAAACTAATAACTAGTAAAACTAATAAGAGTTCAACAAAGTAGCTGAATAAGTGATACATAAAAATCAATAGCACTATAATATGCCAATAATTTCAGAAATGAAAATATAATATAAAAATTATTCATTTCTATTATAATAGCAACAAATCCATAAGGTACCTAGGAATATATCTAATAATAAATGTGTAATGCATTCATGGAGAAAATTATAAATCATATCTGAAGGAATAAAAGATATGAATAAATTAGGAAAACTATTCTCATGGATGAAAAGACTTAATATTTTTAAAATGTTAAATCTCCTTGAATTAATGTCCGCATTCAATAAAATTCCAATAAAAATCAAATTCTTCAAAACTTGATAAGCTGATCACACAATTCATATGGAGGAGCTCGTGGCCAAGAGTCAGAATTTTAAAGAACAAATTGTACTACTTGATTTCAAAATCTAATATAAATCTATAGAAATTAGGGCTGTGTAGATCTACAAAAGAACAAAAGAAAAGCAGAAACATTTTCATGAAGATGTGAATATTAGTTACCAGGAAACAATGGATTGCACTCCAAATGAGTATCTAACCCAGACTGAGCCAGTACATTTCTATACTATGAGTTCAGAACTGAGACGGAGAAAACTCTAACCAGCTAGCTTTTGGATGTAAGGCCACTGTGGGGGAATTCTATTTTAGGTATCATACAATTAACAACAATTTATTGTATATATTCAAATAGCTAGAAGAGCAGATTTGAATGTTCCCAACACAAAGAAATGATAAATGTTTGTGATGATGGATATGATAATTACCCTGATTTGATCATTACACATTTTATACATGTATCAAAATACCACACTTTACCCATAAATGTATATAATTATTGTGTCAATTAAAAACAATGATTAAAGCAAGAAAAGACTATGAGATACATACGAAGGACATTTAAAATCTCTTATCTTTATTTCTTATTTTCCTTTCCAATTTTCAAATGGTAGAAATGCATTTAAAATATTTCCGTTTATATCTATGAAGGTGGGAAATGAAAGATTTTTTCTTTAATCTTTGTTCCCTTCTTTAGGTAAGACTCAAAACTATTTTACTTTGAAACAAGGAAAATTTATATGCATCATGAAAGAAGACAATTGGATTTTCCAAAGATTTATTATTAATTAAACATTAACATGTAGAAATAAAATATAATTTTTAGGTTTTTGTATAAAAATTATTTAAATGTGTGATATTTTCACAAATGTTCCATGCTAAAAAAATATTTTATAAGGTTCAAAATAAAAGCCTCCTACATAAAATGACTAAAAGTAGATTATGGTTTATTTAAGTGTTTACACAGAGAATTTCTAACCTCTTCTAATGATTTTTCAGCACCATCTCTCTGCTGTTTGATATTATATTTTATAGAGTGTGTCTTTAGAAAACTTTAAATCTCTTTCCACTCAGAATTAAGTCAAACAATGCACAATATTAATGAATTCTACCACATAATAGACTTGTATCTGGGTTTTGTTTAATTCTTAAGAGACTAATTGCTGATAGTCTTAAACTGTTATATGACATACTACTACATTTCCATCACATAGTGTTTTCCTTTAGACTCTGCCTTAAAAATAGGCATGTCTCTGTGTTATCATTTTAATTTCATATCTAAATCTGATAAGATGAGTCTCTTCAAGGAAAGGATAAATCTCCACCCATTATATACATCCCTTCATGTAGTATTAGTACTTTATATTCACTGCCATTACTGTCATTTACTGAATGTTAGAATCATATGTGTGTGTGTGTGCATACTCCCTTCTAATCAAGTAAATGCTTTCTTTTTTTATTTAAAAAAATAAACCACATCCACTGATATGGTTTTTCTAGTTGTTCTATTTTCTTACCCTAAAAGTTGTCATGCAGAACAGGTGTGAAATTGAGAGATCAGCCATTTTCAAAAGGGCATGGCAGCAGCTGAGAAGATTGAATTTCTTGCACTTTATGCCTCGTGATGTTTGTTGGTTTTTGAGCTACTAAGCTACTTTACCTGAAAACATGCCTTGTTCTGTTAATTTTCACCTTCACCAGTGAATTAATTTTCTTTTAATATGTGATTTGGTAAATGCCAATCTCACTGAGGTTAGGTGATATCTCATTGTGATTTTGATTTGTATTTCTCTAATGATTAGAGATGTTGAGCATTTTTTTTTATGTTTGCTGGCCATTATTCTGTCTTCTTTGGAAAAATTTCTGTTCATTTCCGTTGCCCATTTCTTGATGAGGTTGTTTGATTTTTTCCTGACTGATTATCACTATGGTGCTCAAATGGTGGTGGTGTTCACCAGGGATTCAGGAGTTGGGGGGGTGGACCCACATCTGAGGGAGGTCGTGAGCATTGTGGAGGGGAAGGGCATACCTCTAACCTTTGCTAGGGAGAGGCAAAGATATAAAATTCAACCAAAATGTTTGTACTCCCATATTTTCTTGAAATAAATAATAATAAAAAAAAGAATTAGACTAGAGATGAAAGGATAAAAAAATATGTGATTGGCATATTGTTTTCCATGAAATAAAATAAAGAGTGTTTTGTGCACTAGGAAGAATTTATGAATATGGAAAATCAATTTAATTATTAGGAGAAATGGAGAGAAAAGATTGTCTCTCTCCTTCCCACATCCTAAATCCACTGGACCACCCTGTCTTGCTTCTCTATATTCTTTTTGCCTTTTTCAACCTTGTCTTTGGTAGTTAATAAAAACATCCTGGTTTCAGTTTGTTCAAATTTATTCATGTTTAATTCAGACCTCAGATAACCTTGTCCACATTTCAAGGACAATAAACAATAATACAATTCAATTCTGTCTATAAGTATTGAATGAGGATTCCTACAAACTAGAAATTGCAGGGTGATAGGATGGAAGAGAAAGCCCTTATGGCCCTGTCCTGAACAAGCAGATAGTCCAGTTAGGATAATTAGTCAAATGGCCAGTAAATGCAAGAAGGTTAGTGTCACAAGAGAGATAAAAATGGTTATGATCCCACAGAAGGAAATAGCATACTTCAAAATGATGCAGACATCAACTTTACATAGCAAAACGTGCAGAGTTGGATAGGAAGAGAGAAATAGAGATGATACTGAAAATATCCTCTAGGTAAAGGGGCATACATAAGCAAAATCATGGAGGAACAGACAAGCATGGCATGTTCTAGGGAGAGTGAGATTTGTTCTACTGACAGAAGGCTTGAGGCAGGGAACAGTGGGAGATAAGGCTGGGTGGTGGCATGATAAGAAGGAAGATGCACAAATTCTAACCAAGACCAGTAATTTAATTAGGCATTGATAACTGCTGCAAAATCAGATGTTGGAGACATCACAGCCAAATAAAAATAATTTCTCTGTAACCTACTATAGATTTACCTGTGCCTCTCTTTACTTTATTATCATTACTATAAGGAATTAGATATATTAAGAAAAGACTTAGGGTATTTTTTCATTAAATTTTCTCATAATGAATTGTTTCATATTTGAAAAAGGAGGTAATATGTACGCATTTAATGTATATAGAAATGACACAAAATAAAAATGCTATACTTTTCAAAGAGTTGTTTGTTTAATAATAATATTTTAGCACACTACAATAAAGGCGTTTATTGTAAACATCTGATCATTCAAATCTAGCGAAAATTTAATCTGCTATTTAAAGAGGTTTTGGTTAAGTAATAGAAACATTGGATTAATGACAAAAATCTGTTTTTAAAGGATGAAAAGTAAATTATGTTGCCATGATATTTATTATAAATTATTTCTGAAACCAGAAAAAGATAAACAAATGAATTTAATAAGATAAATAAAAGTAACCTTTGTAACTGTTTTTTCATGTGGGTGTACAATTGTGGAGATGCCTGAAGAGCTTGTCCTGTCAGATTTCTGTCATACCTTTTTGCAGAATCAAAGTCGATCCTATTCCTCAGTTCCATAAGAACTGGCTAAGGCAAAATTCAAATAACAAAAGAAAATCCTATTGTGTGGTTCAATTTTATATTCACTGAGTACAAATTTGAAAGAAAGGTCAGGGATCATGATAACAGAAATCGGTAGATGGACCTGCCTGCATCCTCACTGGTTCTCCTGCTAGTTTTTTACTGTTTTGCTTTGTTTGCTTTTTTAGTTCATTTGTATGCAAAGTGAGCCTAATAAAGAAGACAACAGGCCTGGCAATTTGAAATAATATCCATGGCTGGAAAAAATATTAGTAAGAAAGCACTATGAATGCTATTTAGGAAAAAGAAAATACCTTATTATTTCTCCAAATTTGATATGGATATTTTTAAGTTTTCTACTTAGCCAGCAGACTGGTTTAAGATGACAAATAAAACATGATCCTGTTTCTTTAACAAAGAGATATTCTTTGAAATAATTTGCTGCCAAAATATTAGAGCTAAGCAGGCAAACATAGCTGTATTAACCCAGTGTTCTTTAATGTTGAAGGGTGAGTGTCATCTCATGGACTCATTTCCTCATACATTGAGAAACCTATTGCGATATTGATGGTTTATACAAATGTGATTTTTTAAGAAAATTGTTTTTACTACCTATACTTGCTTGACTTGAAAATTAATTTTTAGAATTTCATTTCTAATGGTCAGAAGCCCAGCAAGATAAAAAGTGATAGTTATATCACATTTCTTACCCAATATATGAAGCAGATGTGCAATGCACCTCTCTTTGCACGCTCTCCCGCCACACTGTCATTTCACCCTTAAACAATACTTGGACAGACACAATGCAGGCAGCTGTGCTTATGAAGATTACCCTTGTCATGATGATTCACAGCCAAAGCTGTATTAACCAGGGGCTAACAGTTCTTCTTGAAATCTACTTTTCTTGCTTGACATAGTGATATGATCAAAACACATTGCAAAAATCACCCTCTTCACATAGCAATAGTTTCACAAGTTTGTACGACTTGAAGTTCTCCATAAGTAATGTTTGGAAAAGCAGTTGAATCATTAATTATTTCTTCATTGCATACAGAGAAATACACAATTAAATATTTTAAATCTATTGAAATTTCTATTGTCATATTATAAATGTGTATGAAAAGGTTTGGTAAGTTAATGTTACCAAAAGTCAAATAAAAGAGATAAAAGCAGTTATGTTGTTATTTTAAGGGAATAATTCCAGTTTAGGCACCTGTGTTCATAAAGTTATGAATGTAGCGTTCTTTGCATTAACGTGATATGGCATATTGACTAAAACTCTTAAAGGTAGAATTCAAAAACCAAGCCATTTAAGAACAGAGGAAATGCTAACTTTAACTCCATGGTAATTTAGACCTGTCAATAAAATTATCAGGATAGCAATTTTAGAGATAATTTCTAGGTACTACTTACAGTATTGCACTCCCACTTAATGAAAATGTGCCTTCTCAAATAATCAAATATTTGCCCTGAGTTCTACTTCAGGATGTTTGTATTTGGTCAACTAAAAAGTTGAAGTCAAGCATTCATTTTCAATGGGACTTGAGGGTAGCATGCAATTAGGGGATTTGGAAGCAGTTGTGTACCTAATGAAAATTAAGGAAATCATTTACTACTGGATGAAAGTCAATATAAATGTTTCATCCTTATTTTGTCTTTCCATATACGCATATTTTTTAGATGTATGGGGTGATATATGTTAAGTTTTTCTCATTGAATTTACCTTTACAGGTAAATAAACTGATTACTTTTTCTCTCTATAGATAAGTGTTACATGTCTTATTAAAGAAGTTCCTATGAAAAAGGAATCATCCAAATAGTCTCCCTCTGAGTGACTTTCCTTCACAATCCCAGCCAAGTCAAAAGTAACACACTGCAAACCAATGCCTAGACTAGCTATGCAGCATATCAAAGCATGTGCTCTGCCATAGAACAGAGCACAGTTTTGTAGCTAGAAGTCATTCAATAAATAGTTGTTGAAATAAATTGTATATGAATCTTGCATTACTCCTTCTAGACTAAAATGAATAGTTTCATTATTTCACACATTTGGCTATAGGTAATAACAGCAGCCAAAGTCACCGTTATACTAGATATTCATTTCTTCTTCAGTAGATTTCCACATATACCTATTTGCCTACTTAAAATTTTCTGTTATCATCTAACAACATAATATAATAATCCTATAATAAATATCATCAAAGACTAATTGTTTAGTTTTTAAATGCACCTTAGGGAATAATTCATTGTTTTACAATGAGAAAAGATTGAAACTTTGAAGACAAAAGTACTACCAGGAAGAACACATAGTCCATTTGGAATATTTTTATTATTATCATTTAATGCCTTATTCTTTATAGGTACAAATTTATTCTGAAGCAATGCTTGTGGAACTTTTAATTTACATTTTCAACTCTGAATAGTTGACATTGAAATAGTTCAGCTGTGTTATAGTCTCCTTTTACAAGAGAAAAACCTTGCTTAAAGGCAAGCCACTGACAAATTTTGTAGACTTGAAAGATAATATCCCAATGGTTTCAGTCTTTGTCAGGTTTGGCTTATGAATGCCCTGACTTTGTAGGTATCAATAAGGCATAAGGTGCACGTATAAAGAAAACAGAATGTGTGTTTTTTTTTTTAAGTTTTCTCATTTCAATATACATAGATAGTTTCTTAAAAATATGAAATAGAAGTTGAAATATTTGATTTATCAATATGTGCTGATAAGTGCAAATTACATGGTTAATACTAAACAAACAAAAAAGTCCTCTACTATTGTCCATGTTTTATCTGTTTTAAAAACCGTAAGGGGAAATATACTCTCAAGGAAAAAAAAATGAAGCTTTACTGCAAAAGAAATGAATGTAAGAAATAGCACTTTAAATAGTGAAGAGACATGAAGCATTGCAACTTCATAACCTGCTAAGGAGCAACAGCTGTACCTAATTTCAACTTGACGTGCTTCAGATCTCATATTCATATAGGTATTTAATGATCCAAACATAATGGTCCTATATAGAATAATTACTTATATGAAGGAGCAAACTTCATACGCATTCCTTTTTAAATGATCCTTCAAGAGAAAAACTGCTGGATCTTTGAACAATGAATAGTCTCTTTCACCAATCCAAATGTTGGGGGCTAAATAGCTTATCTTTTAAGAGAGAATAATAATAGTGCTGAGGTTACTTCTTTTTAACAGACTCTTTTCCTCTACCCCCTTCCCAGGACAGCCAGTACAATGAAAAAAGGTAGAATGCCAGACCAATCATTAAGTCATAGTGATAGATAGTTACAAGAAATATCAGAAACAAGAGGAAATACGGTATTTTAGAATTGGTATATTTTGAAAACAAAGATTCATTGCTTTGAACTTGACTTTCCTGGACAGGAAGACTAGCAGAAGCAGAGCTCTCAGATTCCTTTTCACTTGAAAAGCATAGTGATTGTCCAGAGTTTATTAATCCTTCATTTTCATGCCTTGCTTCTTCTATGTTCTCAAGAGGTTCACTGATTAAAATCGTTGGCCCCAGAGATTTTTCCACACTGCTTTCCCCTGATTGGAAAATTTGGCCTATGTATCTTTGTTTTCTACTACCTGATGTCACTACTGAACTTTTGGAAACTTCTTCAGGTTTAGACCCAGGATAAGGGTGCTTCTCAGTACCCTGGACTTCTCTTGTTGGGTCACAATCATTTTCAGATTTAGTAGAAATAGATTGGAAAGTCATCATAGTAACTGTATTCCCTACAGAAATCGGCTGTTTGTAAGATGGCCCTGTCACTTTGGGATGGTGTGTGGGAATGTGACAGCCACTCTGAGAAACTCGATTAGCGTCTGAATTAAAAGCAGGATGAACAACGGCATCTAAGTCCATTTCCGTCGATAATTCTTGGACCTGCCCATGATCTCTGTTTTCTGTAAACATTTTTTTGTCTGTTGGTAACATCCCCAAATGCAAATCTGGTTGTGAAGTTGCTTCGTGATTTTTTGTAATGATCTGTGAGAACTCCTCTACAGATGTTCTATTTCCAATGCCATGTTTCTCCCTGTCATCTGTCTTCCCAGAACTGTACATAGACATGGTTTCTTTCTTCTCTATTTCCTCTACATGTACATTACAAATACCTGAACGTGATTCCTTTTCAAAATCATTGTCATAGATTACACCGGCTGTATCTCGTTGACAAAGGGTATAATGTGAAGCATCATTTCTCCCTTCATGTGGATCAAACGCTGTTTCCTTTACCTCGATGGGCCTGTCACTTCGTGCTGTCTCTTGGGGGAGCTTAGCAATTATTGCTTTTCCTCTAGCAGACATGCTTTCTGGAGTACTTTCTGATGTTGTCTTAATTATATAAGCTGTACCTGCTTCTGCTTTCTCAGCAATACCATCATCAGCTAGAGAAGACAGTTCACAGCACACTGTTTCTTGGCAGGTAAACAATTCTTCTGTAGAAGTAGCTTTCAAACTCCTCGTATTATCTCTTTTTTCCCACAGGTCTTCACAATCTGCTTGTTCTTTGATCTGCTCTGGTTTATTTGTCTTATTCTCTCTTGTTTTCCCCTGACTTTCTGGAACATTCCAACTTTGTTTATGCTGTGTGTTTTTATCCTGGTCTTCAGGATTAATCCAACCTGATTTTTCTTCTTCAGCTTGGAAAAGATAATCATTCTTCAAAACATTTCCATTTCTTGGTGAAAAAACTTGACTAGTTATTCCTCCTAAAGGTATGCCTTTGCTAGTCAAGTGATCATGCTCTGGGGTGAATACAGCTTCTTCCCCACTTAAATTTGTCCTTGGTGAATGAGACGTATCTGCTGTGATTGCCCAGGCGGGAATGGAGGTATCTTTGCTCAGCAGAGCAGTTAGGTCTCTGTTACTAGTTCCAATTCCTTCCACACTTACTTCAGGGTGGCCCATCTTCCTTTCTTGGTCATGTGAGGTTGATTGGCAAATTTTGCTTTGTTTTTCATTAACACCTAAATGTTTTCTTTGTCCCTCATCATCTTTACCATTGCCATAATCTTCCTTGGAAGATACTTTTTCTGTTGGTTCTTCAAGATATGCAGACACATCTGAATGGAAATCCCTTTTTAAACATTCCCAGTCTTTTATTTCGATTTTACTAGCTCCTCCTTCTTGTTTTTTATTAAGGTTGCCTGCTATTAGCTGATCTGAGGAGGGGCAAGATATGTGCACTCTGCCCCTTTTGTGGGCAGGATTAGCCTCATTGTCCAAGACTTCTTTAGTGCCAATGTGCAATTGCACTAATTCATCACTACTAGCATCTCCCAAAGATGGCTTGATTTCTTCCATATCTGAAGTAATTTCCTCTGGAAGTTGAAGACTACACTTATTTCCTGGACAATATTTTTCGTTGCAGTAAAAATCTCCCTTTAAGGAGCTTTCTGCTGATGAACTTGGAGACAAAGGCCTTTGGAACAAGTCAGTGCATGTTTCACCATGGATTTCCTTCTTCTCTAATCCCTCAGCTTTACTTGGAAAATTGACTGGATCTGTAGAAAATGTATTCCTTTCATCTCTGGAAGCAGTGCTTCTAGTTCTTATTAAGTGTTGGTTTATCTTATGGGATAAAAACAACAAAAATAATGAGTATATGATCTTTTTAAATATACAGAATGAATTAGATAGGTTTTATTAACTTGACTGGAAATTATCTGGTAGATTTCCTTGACTTATTTCATTTATGGATTTCATACAAACTCTGGAAGCCAGATGTTTTGGGGAGATCCTTGTAGGCTATGACTTGGGAATGAGATTAGTAAGAAAAAGGGGCCCAAATTAATCACTCTCCTTCCCAGCTTCCAAATATCACATTGTATTATTCAACTATTCTTGCTTGTCATTGCACTTTTTCCTCACTTAGGATATACACATTGATAGCTCCATGCTAATCAATTAGAAAGCAGCTTCCTGGGTGCCCCTTGCTGCATTTACACTTGCTGTAGGTGCCCCCATTACAGTTTCTCTTATTAATATGTTTTCTGCAAAGCCTCTGCAAACTATTAATAGCAAAACGTCACTCAAAGAAAAGTGAGGGAGTTAATGTCTCTGCAAATTCTGTTTTAATGACCCTCTGCCAACTGGTACTCAAATGTATTTGAGCTCTTCAGTGATGCCAACTGTCAGGATTTAACAGTGAGATGCCTGTGTTTTTTTTTTTTTCTCCTCATAACTGACATTTGCATGATCTCAATAATTATATGCAAATCTTACGTTTTCCCCTTCTTCTCACATAAGGCTCATGTTACTTGTCAACTGCACAGCTGTCTTGTAAGCCAATGCCTGTGGGTTCCACAGATTTGGTTGTATTTCCATCTATTATAGAGGTTCATTGTTTTATGCATTAACGTCAGCATGGAGCAAATTAGCATCTAAATTACAGCTCCCTGTTCATTTATTGGACGTACAATTTCAGTAACTTCTAAACAAACTTTTATATTTGAGCCTGCTCATTGTAATGAGATGTATTGGTGAAGTATGTGATTTTTCAGGGCCCTTTCATTATATTCTGTGGTTTGAAAAAAAATGGCAATGTTAACTTTCAGCTGGTGAGAATTCTCACAATGGGTGACAACTTTGTAGTTTCTTAAAGTTGGAGCAAAGTAAATTGCATACTTTAGTGATGCAGCTCCCATATCACTATAGAAAAGGTAGAATATACGGAGAAAGAGATGAGCTCTATTTCTTTTCTGTTTCAGCACTGACACTGGAAGAGGCAAATGTCATTTTAATCTTAGATGATTATAAATCCATGTATCCCAATGATATGAGCTCCAACCAAATACAGTAAAGGATAAATTGCATTATGTGACTCATTTACTCCTATTTCTTCCTTTGTGTAAAAGTGCTATCTAAATCATCCCCCCCAAAATTTCAAATAGATTGAATGTTCACCAAGTGTGAAATTTATGATAACAAATTTAATACTAAATTGTACAGTACTGATTTTGTTTCTTGTTTAAAAAATATGGCACAGGCTATTTTCTTCTCACTTGGTAATTTAATACTCTACCATGATATAGAACTTGGAGATTTTCACAAGGATGGAAGTTAAAAAATGCTGCTAAATGCAAGAATCATGGACTCATAGAGTTGGACAGGACCCTGACAATAATCCAGTCCAGCCCTCTCATTTTACAGACGAGTTTATGCTAAGTGTACACTTGTCAAAAAGATTAGAAATGCACATTAGTATAGTGCTACCTCTCCTGTAATTCCTACAAACTATTACTCAGAGCCACTGGTAAAGAGATAAGAAATGAATGTCATTAATTTACCACTGCAGAGACCAGAAGCAACATACTGAAATCAAAGTGCCTTGTTGATCAAGCTAGAGATGCAAGGATAGAATAGGCTGTGCTTTTGCATTTGCAAATTATATTAGTTGAAGCTATTGAAAGGCAGGCATTGTGGCATCTTTGAAGCATAAATGGATTCATCTTCTCTAATACCGTGGCAACCAGAACACTTACCATCAACTCTAATTCTTTTTCATTATGTTCATCATGTTCCCTGTTTACATCTTTTACATTTTGATTACTGGCTTCCAAGTCTTCCTTGTCCTCATGAGAACAAACGATTGTTGGGATATAAATATCTGAAAAGTTAATATAATTGTACCAATGTAAGATTGTTTAAATTGTAGTCTTTAACAAAACAGCCAAATTTTTTTGAAAAATTAAATAATAATATACCTGTAAGCTTTGGATTCTCAAAGTCACTCTCTTCTGATGTTGCTGATGATTCTTCTTTACTGTTAAATTGAAAACAAAAGGTTACTTGCTTTTCTGGGAATCCATTGTCTAAGCATTTTTATACAGGGGAAAATTTAAATCAATACCAAGCCAAATAAACATTAAGTAACCTTTCATATTTTCTTGTATTACTTTGTATATTTTTAAACAACATAGATCTTTTAAAATGACATATTAGTAAATATTGGCTGCAGAAATGTTTTTAAATATTTCATACAATGCCATAATTTTGAATCAGATTGTGTTGCTTATATTAAAACTTGCATAACCAAAGTAAAAATACATGTAAATATAGATTATTCCATCATTCATGCATTAAATCTTTGCAAGTGTGAACATTTTTCTCTTGGTTTAAATGATAAAGTTTTATGAACTGACAGTCCATTTGTGGTCATAGAAATTGCTTTCTAACATTTCAATTATTAATTTTTTTGTGTTTCATTTTACTCAGAATTCTTTCAGTAGAACTGATCTAACATTAACTCTCTCTTCACAAAATGAGGAAAAGAAATAAGCTAACCTAAAACCGAAATGCAGCCAAATTTATACTCAGTTAAAAGACTTTATATGTGTATTGCTACAGGCCAATTTTATAATCAAAACTTCATATCTTTCATATGCAATCATATACTTTCTTTCTTTAAAATGATTCAGGTCACATTCCCTTTTCTAGCATATACTGCATACTCATTGAAAAAGATAAATACCTCATTATTTCAGGTTTACTGTATTTTGGTGTATTCGTGAAATCATTAGAATTTAGATTTGTCCATTGCAATACATAGGAAAAATGTTGTTGGTGAAAAAGCTCCCTTTGTGTATAGTTATGTCACAAGTCAATTTATCAGAAATATTTGACCCAGGATCCACATTTTCTTGTACTGTCCCAGCTGAATTTTCTTCTAGTTATTAATACATTTCTCAATGACTTTCCTATAACAAAAGAAATCTGGAAAGTTGGCAATGGCTAATATATTTGTGAAATAGAGTCTAATCTTCACTGCATGAGGAATTTTGATCCAAATCCCAGGAAGGCTAATTTTATTTCAACAAATCATGAGAAAAATTGCAAGTTCTTCCATCCTGACTATATAAGAAGGTAATTCAGTTTTGTATGTATTTATGATGCTTACTTTTAACTTTACTAAAATCATTTGGTACCTTTAGCAAACCCATAAATGAAAATAATGTTTCTATATGAATATCATTTTGTTAGAAAAACATACTGTTTGCACAACTGATACTGACTTAATCTATAAATCTATATTATTTCATGAGGTCGATAACTATTCAAAGATTTTTTGTTATAAAACTCAACTACAAGCTGGCACATCTTTCCTTCTCCATGCACATAATGTCTGTGTACTTAAAACTCTAAACCATTACACAGCATTAATTGCTTCTGCTTCCTTTTGATTCCCATAACAATACTGAAAATCTCATTTGTAGAGGAAAATTAATTGTCATTCAAAGGCTTTTGTTTTTACCTAGCCAAAATACTATCAATCCTTTTTATTTAAAAACATTTTTCTTTCATTTTATTTGTTTAATTGATAACAATTGTAATATTGTTGGAGGTCATAGTAATGTTTTGATACATATAATGTACGGTGATCAGATCAGGGTAATTTGCATATCCATCACCTCAAACATTTATCATTTCTTCATGTTGGGAACATTAAATATCCTCTTCCTAGATATTTGAAACTATATAATATATTTCTATTAACTATAATCATCTTAGTGTTATAGAACATTAAATTTTTTTCTCCTATCTAGCCATAGTTTTGTATCCTTTAGCAAATCTAATTCAATTCTCTAAAATACTTTAATTTTTAAACAATGATTGAGTTAAAAGTATAGGAGCCTTATTTGGGGAAAAAATGATTAAGTACTCAACTGTGTATTATGATGTTGGTGTCTCACAAAAATTTGTAAATACAGAAATACAGAGGAAAAATTTAGATTGAGGGATAAATACAAGGAAGAAAGTGGAAATAAATGATATTTAAATATATCAAATATCTATGAACAAAACTAATAGAAAATGTGCAAGATTTATGCAGGTAGAAGAATAAAATTCTATCAAGAAATATTAAAGAACATCTAGAAAAATTGAGAAATATACCATGTTCATAGATAAGAAGAAAATGTTATGAAGATGTCAGTTCTCTCCCAAATTGATCTGCAGATTCAGATCAATTCTAATCAGAACTCCAAAATAAGTTTTTAAAGATTTTGAAAGTAGGATTTAAAATAGAAATATAGAGAATTTAATGATAGCTGAAATATTCCTGAAAAACAGCAGGGAGGAGAACCCGCTTTACTTGATTTCAAGTGTTATTACAAAGATTTATTTGTTACGACAGTTATATTGGTACAGGGACAGACAGAGTAATGAAACGGGGTTGAGAGCTTAGTAACAGAATCACACATATCTGGAACTTTGTTATATGACAAGTGTAGCATGTTAAGCAGTAGGGAAATACAAGACTTTTCAGTAACTGGAGACATGGAAAATGATTACCAGTTAAACTCAGACCTTAAATGTGAAAAACGTTGAAATTCTTATATGAGAATATCTTTTAGACTTTACAGTAGGAAATATTCTCTTAAATAAAAAAAGGAAACACAGACCATTACAAAAATTGGTCAGTTTAACTCTATTAAACTTTAAAACTTTTGTTCATTAAAAGACTTTTGTAAAGAAAAAATAGAAATTACAAATTGGAAGAAATGCTTACGTTATTCAATATCAACATATATGAGTATCAAGAATAAATATAGAACTCTTAAAAATCAGTAAGAAAGCACAAACAATTCATTACAGAGGGTGGGGAAATAGATATTTCACAGAAGAGAAAGTATATATGGCCAAGAAACATATAAAGGGATGGCCAATATTATTAGAGATCAGAGAAATGAAGTACCATGAATTGTAATAAATATTGGGAAATCAAAAACAAATGATCTCTAGCTTCTTACCTCAAGGAAGCTATAATGTCATGATGGGCATAGACATCAATAGGCAATTATAATTATTATAAGTGGTAAATATTATAATAAATAATGGAGTATGATAGAAATTCTTTTCGAGATAAGAAGAGAGGACAGAAATGAAGAAGACACCGTTGGGGAAATCAGGGAAATAACATTCTGAGTTAGATTTAGGGGATCACTGGGATTTCCCAATTAGAGAAAAATGATAAGGTCATCATAGGCAGAGAGAACAACAGGAAATCAAAGATGAGAGTAAGAAAGCACAAAAGAAAAAGGCATATCTACGAACAGTGAGATGTTCAGAGGATTGGATTCTGGAGAAAGAATTTTAAGAGACAGAACTGGAGACAGTTTGAACCAAATTGTAAAGGGCTTCACATGCCAGGCAAAATGGGGCTGAATTCTTTAGGTATTTTTTAACCTGGAGGATTAAATGGGACAGAGATTTATTTTTAGGGACCTAGCTCTGAAGATAATGTAATGGAGAACCTAGACAGGATGAGCCACAGAGGAGCAGGAATACTAGTCATGAGACTCCTGCAACATTTCAGGCACAAAAAATGAGGGTTAAGGATGATGATAATGAAGAAAGAGAAGATGAACCACATGTGAGTTATAACTTTTGATGTAGCATCAATATAATTTGTTGATAAATTCTCTCCACATACATTTTTTTTTTTAATGCTAAGCTTTGTTGCATACGTGAGAATTAGAAATCTACAATATTGTCTCTAGACCTAAGCTGGGGAGAGTTAAGTCTAGTGGTTAGCTGAGGGCTTCTGCACTACAAGTCAGCAAGGTCTTGAATTAGTCTGCAGGCTTGTTTCTGGTCTCCTAAGGGCTGGGTGATTTTCTTTTCAGGTGTTCACATAGACACCTCCTTTGGCTTTCCTCCCTAATCTCTGTACACATGCCAAAACAAGTGGACCAGTAAATATTGCGTATGTTTCTAATTTTTATTCTAGTCCTTCACTGGGGAGAATTAAATGTTTCTCATTTACACTTTGTTCACCTAGGTTTATAACATTCTAAGTAGTCCTTGACAACCTGTTTACTAGATTTGGGCATTCTACATAGATGAATGTCTAAGGAACTAGAAATCAAGTTCACATAGGAACTTTAAGCATCTCGATTGTTTAGGAGTCCTTCTGCCTTGGTAGTCCCTTCTTGCATGAATACTATTATATATATATATATATATATATATATATATATATATATATATATATATATATATATAAAAACAACAGTTCCCAGAATTGCCTTTCATATCAGAAACCCCCGGCTTTACTTCTTTAAAATCTAAGTTAATAGACCTGTGCATGAAGGTGAGAGGGGGGATAGAGAATGATGGTGCTAAGAATCTCCTAAAATGATTTTCATATGAGGCCAGATTTACAAACTTCTGCTATAGTCAATGTATCTCACTGCACCAAATCCATTAGATTAAACTATGTGGACAGCCACTCTCTAGATAATAGATAATAGGGAGAGTCATTTTTTTAGATATGCTTCCTGGCCCCGAACCCAGTTCCCCTACTTTTTACTAGTTTTATATGTGTTTGCAGCATGCTTTGTTACTATTTAGATAATACTTAGGAAAGGAGAAAAATAAAGGATGATTCAGAGGTTTCTAATTTTAGAATTTAAAAGAATGGAAACTCCATCACTTGAAATGGAAAATTTAGGAAAAGCATAAGTAAAGGAAAGAAGATGAGCTTTATTGTGGGAAACATGTTGACCTTAAACAATCTTAGACCAAATAGGAAATGAAAATTAGTGTTTTTGGAATGTAAAATGCACAGATTTGTCATTTTTCCTTTTTCTGTCACAATATAATTGCACAAAGGTTTGCACCATTTTTACAATTTGAGGTAAATTTACCCCCACGTCAAAGAAATGGAACATAATATTGAAATTTCATATGATGACCTAGAGTAGATAATAAATACATATGTACTAAACATAGGAAAAAGTGAATGGTTGTTGGCCAATAGTT